CACACCAGCTGCTGTATCTGAAAGATAAGATCCAGGGACACACACAAACAGTATACACACAAAGAAACCAGTGGTACCATTATGACATGGGAATGTGCTTGTGTCAGTATCTGTTTCTGGAATTAAATACGTTAATACCAACGAAAGAAAATAAATATATATGCATAAGCAGACTACCAGGAACACTGTCTAAATATCATCGTACCCGTATCTGCATCTGAGAGGAGGGAGTGGAAGCCACACACCAACTTTCACACACACTCTCACACACACACACACCCAGACAAGGGGAAAGAGGGATAAAATAGGGGAAGAGAGCCCTAGGCTCTCCTGTGTGTGTGTGTGTGTGTGTGTGTGTGTGTGTGTGTGTGCGCGCGCATGTCTATGTGTGTGTGTGCATTCTAAGTGTATGTGTGTTGATATGAAAGTGTGTGTATGTGTGTGTGTGTGTGTGCGTGTGCATATGTACGTGTATGTGTGTGTGTGTACGCATACGTGTATGTGTGTGTGTACGCATACGTGTATGTGTGTGTGTACGCATACGTGTGTGTACGCATATGTGTATGTGTGTATGTTTGTGTGCTGTGAGTGTATGTATGAGTGTGCAGGTTAACATGGAATGATTCCCAGTGTGTGTGCGAGGCCACAACAACACCGCCCTGGGATCCCCACAGCGGCCAGGTACCCGGGCCCCCGCCACCGCAGTTATCTTGTCCTCAGGTGTGGCTTTACCACTGAACCCATCATTCAGTGATCTGCCAGTCAGTTGTTTTATATCGGCAGTATTAAAGGGAGGCTTATCTGACCTACATAAGTATTTTTTTTCCCTCCAGAACTTGCTATTACATTTAAAAAATAAGAAATACAAAAATACAGCCTTATATAGTTATAATATAGAAAATAAGATCACAAAATATTAGGTTGCTAAGGCCTGTGAATAAAAATTCTGTTGTGCACAGCAGTGTTCAAGAACAGATGTGAAGTTGAGGTGAGCCTTGATTAAGCAGTCATAGCATTTATTAATCTCCTTATCAAAACCTTATGCATAGCATATACAACGGTAACTGAAATGTTACTCCTGGGGAAATGGTGATGACATCTGTGTTCTTACAAGCCGCTTACAGCTTATTTTCCAAAAGGGCCATTCATGACTGCAGCGTTGTATAGAAGGAGCTTGTGCATATATGTCTTGTGATTTGTATTTTCCTAACTATTTTAAAGGGAAAACGTATTAGAACAAAACCATTTTGTTTACACACAGGATTCTGGGTATTTGCCATAAGTTTTACTGCAGTGACATGAAGTTTTTTTTTTTTTTTTCTCGTCACTATAGTCCCAAACTCTGGATCTCTCTCCCAGAAAACATGAGAGCTACTGAATTTCTTTGTACTTTCAAAACTAGGTTGATTTCTCTTCCACATTGCATATAATAATCTAGAATAATCAGTTATTTTATGTATGTATTATAATAAAGTTATTTTATTCATTTATTTGGGAGAAGGTAGGGGCTAGAGTCCCCAGTGAGGTAAGGGCTAGAGAGGGTGGTCCCCTACGGTGACCAGGGAGGGTGGTCTAAAGTCCCCTGGATGGTTAGTCCCACATTTTTGGTATTATTATTATTAATAATAATAATAATAATAATAATATTGTTGTTGGTTGGTTGGTTTAGTTTTAATAATAAAAAAAACTGATTCTATTTTTAATTTTCTGTGCTTATTTGTATGCTTACTTTGATTCCATTATTCTAAATGTCTGTAAAGTACTTTGTTATGTAAAAAACTTGATGTTTTTGTGTTTCTGTGTATTTCCAGATGTTCATGGCGTTCACTCATATGGTCCTGAGGGCGAAGAAACAGAGTCAGATCCGTGTGGAGAGGGAGCGCGAGAGAGAGAAAGACACTGTCAACTTCAACTCTCAGAGAGACAGAGACAGAAGAAAGAGAGGGAAAAAGTGTTGCTAATTAGCTGGAGGACACTAACACTTAGACACTGACACTGAAATCATGTGGACAGAGAAATTATATTGACTTAACCACTGTAATACTCTGAATATTTTCAATGTCTTATGAATGTTAATTTTTTTTTTTTTATTAAGAAAGAATGAAAATTAGATGTTAATATAACACGCAATAGTTATCAACTGGAATCTATAGTGTGACCTTAAGGTTGCATGTTTAATTGATTAACCATTGTTGCACTGCTGCAGTACTGAGTAACTGAAGTGTGTCTGATAACACCTGTAAAGTTTAAAGAGCTTAAATAAAGTATGACGTTAAGTCCTTCTGACCCATTAACTTCTCACCATCCCAGTACAACCTGATCTTCTGAACGGAGTTGTCCTTGTTCTCACAACCTTAATTTTTCCCTAAAATATGTCCTGCCCACCCCCCAGCTCCAGCTTTGTGTGAAAGGTCATACACTTGTAGTAGCACAAGTGTTGTGAGTGGTGCAATTCTGTGTTCATTTTGATGCCCCGTTTCTCAAATTTGACACTCACAAATGTCTTGGGCACTGAATACTCACAGCTCTTAGGGTTTGGATTCAATTGCCACCTCAGGCAGTGTGTGTCAGGTTTGCATGTTTTTTGCATGATTCCCCTGCAAATTATGGTTTCATATGTGATTAGATGAACTGATCTTTCTAAATTGCCAGTTTGTGTGTGTTGTGTGCACAGTAATGGAATTCTTATCCAGGATGTCCTCTGCTTTGTGCCCTGGTTCCTGTGATACACTTCAGAACCACTCCACCTTACGACCTGGATAAGTGGTTGTAAAGTAAACAAGTGAAATTGTCATTATAATATGCAAAATTCACTTCCATGTATCTAATAAATTCCTCAGGATGTATTCCACCTCGTATTTCCCATATCACCATGCACACTCTAAACGTATTTACACTCGCTCGGTTCAACCGTAATCTTTTTAAAGGAATGATTGCAACTCTAGACTGCGCTCCATATCAAAGCTAGTAGAACTGCATATTGTTGTAATGAGTTCAAGCAATCGCCAGACGGCGGCAGTGCGCAACACTTGAAGAAGGTCATTGTCGACACTGCGCACTTTTTCACTGTTGGGGAGGAGGTTGTGTATCCCCAGTATTAAATTTGGCTTCATTCATTCACCCGCCCAATAAATAGACCTTTATATATGAGCAGTTGCCAGCACCCTCCGACGCCGTTGATGATTCGTAACGCGGTAAAGTTTATCCATCCATCCATAGGCTTGCCACCTGTCCCGTTTTTCTTAATTTTTTTTTGTGAAAATGTACTTCTAATTTTGAGTTGCATAGTTTCAAATAAAACCTCCCCCACTGTTGTTCTTTTAAAAATAAAATAATTTCGTTTATATGTCCAATTCTGTCTGTAAACGGTAAAACAGTATCCAGTATATATAAAGATAGGCCATCTCTATACTTTTAAATGATTGGTAGCAGAAATATGACCGCTTACCTTATTACCTAGCAGTCGCCTCGGCTGTCAGTCTGACACTCACATCCACATTCCTTGACTACCGTACCAGATAGAGGTAATGTTAGTTTGTTAAGTTTTTTTTAACTTCCATTTGTTTGTGAAATTGGGGAGAGGCAGATGAGGAGTAGGGTGGAAAGCTCAGGTTCAGAAAGTACAAATCCAGATCAAAATTTTGTTTCAACCAACCAGTTGCGTATAAAGAACCATAGTCACAGAGTACAGTACTCAACTGATTGGTTGGAACAAAATCATGGTCTGGATTTTTACTTTCAGGACCTGAAATTTCCACCTCTGATGAGGAGAACGACAAAACAGCATCGGATGAATACCACCAGCGTCGAGTGTCAAAAGAAAAACCGATTTACAACGTACATCTCAGCCTGGGCGAAAATAGAAAAAAAAGCTTATCTTCTCATAACTAAAAACTGAAACATTCCCAAAAATTGTGTGACTGGATCGATGCAGTACCATCTAGGTCAGGGGTGGCCAATCTTATCCGCCAAGGGCCGGTGTGTATGCAGGTTTTTGGGATAACCTGTAAGTCAGCTGTTCAAACCCAGGTGTGAGGACTCTTCAGCCAATCAGTTCTCTAATTAGTGATCTAATTAGGGCGTTGCAGCGAAAACCCGAATACACACCAGTTACTTATGGAAATATTCATGATTACAATTTTAGTTACATCATAAGATTGTATGCAAAATCTTGCTAATACTTTAATAACAGTATTTTTTATTGTTTTTCATGTTTTTCTTATGCAAAACATCCTCCCTTTCTATTTCCCTCCACAGCCGAAAGTTTGAATCCCCCTATTCGATGCTTCTGGTTGGTTATCCTGTGGCGTCTACATATGCAGCCAATTCTGCTAATTAACTTGCCGGAGCGGTCTGAGTTTCTGTTGCAGGCGGTGGCAGACAAGGAAAGGAATGCATTCCATTGCTGGAAATATAAAAAAACAGTTCCGATACATTACAGAAAAAGGCACAAATTTAACTGTGCAGTGCAGTGCGTGTTTACCGGCTGTAAAGATGTTGTCGACATCTAAACAGTCCATGTCCATATCATAAGATACGGCGCATAGGACAACAAAACAAAATGTAAACACCGACAGCATGCGTAAACCCCACAATGAATCGCGAAGTGTGTACCGCGCTTTAAAGCCACACTGGCACTTCTGATCCCGTTGACAGAAAATGTACCGTCCTCCTTCAATATGCTAATGTTATTGGTAATTTATGTTAGGTCTCTTATTAGCACTCCCGACATGCTATGTCGTGTTGAGTTTTGAAAATTCACTAACTATAGCTAGCCCCTGGGCGATTCAGCCTTACCACTCTGCTAACCCATTTTATTTTACGGTGCTGCGAAAACACTGTTTTAGGCTACTCTGTGATTTGTGATTGGAAAAAATGGACATAGACAGAGTAATTGTGATTACACAATCAGCTGAAATTTCATATCCTGTCTGATGCAAGAACTGTTCAGATCAGAAGTAAAATGTAACCATTTATTTTCGCAAGTACATAAAATGTTTGTATCATAATGTAATCCTGAAACGTCACAGAGTGGTCAAATCACTCGTAGTTTATCTTGTTTTGACTCCCAAAAAGTTTATATTATGAACACACATTAGAATTTAATAACTGAAGGCTGAGTTTTAACATTTTTTTTTGACATTTTAGGTATATTTTATGTAACATTAATGTTATGACTTGTTACACTGAGGGAATCTGGTTTTTCACTGAGTATGAAGCGAGGATCTATTCTTACCCGTTGTTTAAGATCATTATATGGTATGTTTGGTATCTTTATTAAATTGATCAATTATAATCATGTTAATCATGGCTAACAGTTGAGAATATTCATTCATAATTTAGAAAAGTAATCAAAAAGTAATCAAATGTAATCAGTTACATTACTTTCATATAGTAATTGAAATAGTTACACTACTATTACATTTTAAATAGAGTAACTTGTAATTGTAACGAATTACATTTCCAAAGTAGTCTTCCCAACACTGGGAGGGGGCACCAATCCATCGCAGGGCACGCCACATCATTCACTCACACATTCACATCTACGGGTAATTTGGTAACTCCAGTTCACCTTAACATGTTTTTGGACTGGGGTGGCAAACTGCAGTACCCAGAGGAAACCCCATAACAAAATGGGGAGAACATGCAAACTGCACACACTTGTAGACTTGCACCCCTCCCCTCCCTGCATAAAATTAAGTGATATTAATTTTAAAAATTAATGTGATTTTTTTTGGTAATGTTTTTGTTACGATTCGCGCATATACTGCATAATAATTCATACAGTAATAAATCAGGTGAGTCTTCATGAATTTCTGGGTGAATCGGTATTAAACATGTTGTCTAACAAGCAGACAATTTTTATGAATTAAATGTTTTATCAGCAGGGCTAAATAACTGTGATATTTTGTGAGGGTCTTGTGTATTGCATTTTTATTGAAAGAGATTGAGATTAAAATGTGATATTGAACAAGCTGTTTCTCTTGATGCCGTTTGTACTCAAGGCATCTCTGTAAAATGTGCTGAAAAACATTTTTATCACTTTACTGAACACGGATTTAATGATCTACAAAATATTTTCATTGGCCATTGGATGAAAACAAATAAGCTGAAAAGGCTAAAGGCTTAATGTCCCAAAACAATTATTTAGGACAACCAAATCTCTCTTATTTACCTACTGGTCATAAACAATGACAATTACTAAAGTCATGAAACTGTAATTCAAAGACATAATTAAAAAAGTGTCAAAGATGTGTTCTGTTTCGAGGTCAAGACAAGATCAAGACACATCCTTCCCAAGACCAAGTTAAGATCAAGACCCATCCCAACCAAGACCATGATGAAGACCTTTAATCAAGACCTAATCCAGACCAAGACTTGAACATTCACAATCAGAATTTAGATTTTTTTTTTGGTAGAGTGCACCCATATTGGGGTTATATTTTCATTCATGTAATTTCAAAAGATCCTATTACTGAAAAACGATAATGTTCACATACTCTAAACAACAATGCAGACGTATAAAAACACAATGTAACAAAATCACATGCACAAAAGCCCTCCCAAAGCTCCCTGACAGCAATCGTAAAGTACAACTCTAACAATCGACACTAAACAATAAACACTACGAAAAATGTCCAAAACGGTCCAGTATAACAGGGGCAGTTGACAATGGATGAATGAAAGAAATACCTTGTGAACACAAATTCATCGACATCACAGATAATCACTCCAGTCACTGTACAGTCATCATCCAACCAGTAAAGCACTGCAGGGTCTACTGGTGACATTCTAATCTCTATTTTTATTTTATCAGTACAAAGAGGCATCGGCCAATTCAGACCCATTTTTTAGCTTCTACAAAAAACCATCTCTGTTGGCTTCAGGTAGTAGTCAAATGAAGACATCATGTGTCAGTTATTTACCCTGCAGATCTTACATCCATTCTTCTTGGCATATAACAGCCATTAGCATCCAGAGTGATTCTGATGCACATGTAGGTGAGTCTGTTGGAATCTCACTAGTGTGCATTTCTTCAAAACCTCTTGCAGCAGCCCTTGCCTTGGGTACAATGCCATCTGCAGTTTCTTTTAGAATACATACCCATCTGGTGCAGACACACTTCTAGCCTTTGTCAGAGACATCAGCAAACATAGCATTGCTTTTCCAATTATCAAGTTCAGTTTTGCTGCATCAAATGATGCATTACAAACATTACATCATTCTCCTGATCCTGTGAATATTACTTTGTTGTATCGTGGGGCTCAGTATGAAGATTACCAGACTGATATAGGTTTGCTGATGCACTTGTGTCATCGATACTGGCTGGTTTGTAATACTGGAGATTGTAATAGTTCTTATAGTTACCATTTGCTTTTCCAGCCCTCTCAAGTATTTTTGCTTTGTACACAACTCCAGTTTGTTTAGCTGACAGAGTGCAGCAGCACTCTTTTGACCTTCTGGCTTTTCATTGCCCATCTTCAGTTCACTGTCATTACGGCCTTCATTTCCCTGGACCTCCATCACCTGCTAATTATCAATCTCATGGTACTATCACACTGAGTATTTCCAGTGCTGTTCTGTGGCCTGTTCTTGACTCGTGACATCTTTTCCATTTTGTTTTACACTCACTTTACAGTTTTGTGTAATGTACTCTCACATAGGAACCCCTATGTCTGATATAAAGCTCAGTACCATCTAGTCCTATTACCAGCCCAGGTCATTTCCACTCAGGACAGTCCATTCGTTTATAATAAACCTTGTCCCCTGTCTCATATTTGTCATCTGTGTCTGTTGTCTCCACAGAGCTCTACAAATCCTGTCAGAGCATTCAACCTGTGTTAAA